ACTTATTGTGCTTTTATCCCGATCGTTGATAAAATCCTATATCGTCCCATCCCTAATCATGATGTATGATTATATGCAATTAATTGTGCAGCTCTACTTTTTTAGGTGAGGGATGTGTTGTGGTTTTAGGATGAAGAGCAACAACTTCACAGTGGATCTGATGGAAGCTGGAACAACAGAGCAGTGTTTGAATGCTCAAGAGGAGACCGAGAGAGGAGAGAGAAAGCCTGCAGCACATTCCCCACAAGACACTCACTTCCTGTCTTTGAGTCTTACTCAGCACCCAGGAGGAAGAGGAGGATGAGGCCCTCACACACACTCACCTCATTATGTGGGTATAGAAGCCAGAGAAATGATTCTCCACACAATAAGAAGGGAAAATACTGAAAATTATAATAATTACATTTTCGTCAGAGGGCCATTTTCCCTTCTCAGGGGAAGAGTTTTCACTGGCCTCCAAATGAATATATTCATATTCTTCTGTGTCCTACAAATGAAGTTGTGTGTGAGAAACATTTCAACACACGTGTTCAGAGCATCCTCTACACAGAGGACATTAGGTGAAGCAGCAGCACCTATACTGATAACTGCATACCGAGAATACCTGCGAAGACCTTGTACTTTCTCATTCCCATAAAAATGCAACAACAGTTTTTTTTCCGTTCCGAGACAAAGCCACCCAATAATAGTCTGCAATTTGGGAGCAGGAACGCAAATTAGTTCAGTGAAGAAAATGATTCGCTTAGCCTAATTGCAGGCTGTTGTTGCTCAGCAAACATGTTGTTAAGTTGTGTGCACACACACTGGCTCACCGGGAGGCCATGCTCAGTCACAAACACCACTAAACTCTCATCATTACTAGTAGGAGCTGGGGAACCTCAAATCGACCCCGTATGCAGCTGAATACATCAGTGACGATGTGTGCTTAAAAGAAATGTGGAAAACCTGGTTGCACATGGAGAGTAGACGCACTCCGTTTGAAGATAATGTTACATCTTTCCCACACTTGCCCCATGTCTCTTAACTTCCTAATGAATGTTAAAAAAAAAAAAAAAAAAAAAGTACCCAAGTTCTCTTCTACTGCTCCCCAAACACATAAAACTATCTTTCAAGCTTTCAGGCCTGTGTCCAGGCATCCAAGTCATTAACTTGGGAGTTCTATTCTGGGGTGCCAAAGGTACAACAGTTAAACCCAGATGGCTGGCACGGTGAGATTTTGTTGTCACTTTACACTATTTACTGATCCAAGCCCAGCAACCTGCGTCCCTGCCAATGCCAGGGACAGTAAATCTGTAATTGCTAAGAAGTTAACAATTTCCATTTTCTCCTGATGCGAACGGTGGGAGCGTAAAATACTGCGGATCCAAATAACGGGTAGTTTAAGCGTGTACGCTGAGATTTTGTTCGGTGTGGAGACATGCTGGTGAGTGACTAATATATTTTAACGGGCATAAAGTGCTTCTGGGTCATTTTTATTATTCAAAATGTACATAACCCCTGACTGTATGGTTCCTCACCAGTCTGATGTCCCACCATGAACCCTTATTCTTAGAAATGATCATTATTATTAGCAAAAACATTTTAAGATTCCTGACTAAACACTCATATAATTGCCATTAGACTTCACCTGCATTGGAGTGAATGCACTTACAGGAGATCAGATTTCTCTGGCCATACCTTAAAAACTACGGTGAGCTGTCTGCGAAATCCATTTACCAATTACTGAATAAAATGCTGAGGGTGAGATGGATGAAAAAATAGATGAAACTCATTAAATAGTAAAAAGATGCAGAAAATAAAAGAACGTGAATGCATTTTTCTATTTCAGACACATGTATACATAACATTTATCAATTAAATGTATCCATAAATACAATTTACATTTAGTTATCTGTCTTCTGCTCCTTGTCCTTGGTTATTGTTGGTAAAGATGCGACAACTTCCTGAAACCTTTCAAAAGATTGTATATTACATCCAGAAGGAGCAGATTGGAGGAGCCTTCTATAGAGGCAACACATCACATAAAACCAGTGAGCATCTGCAATCAGTGGGGCGATTTGATTGCCCTACAGTAGAAGGTCGTGATTCATTGTAAAACTTAAAATCAACCAAACTCTTAGCCAAGAGGTCGACGACAAAAGCATGTAATCTCACAAACAAACACGTTTCAGGCTCATTTGTCTGTTTGTTGACCTGCATCACACCATAATCCATAATCATAGCAATTAGCTAGCTTCATATCTAAACAAGGTCAACACAGAGAGAGCAAAGCAAAGGTAATTGATTGAAGTATTCAGGAATTGATCAGCCAATTATGAGTCGGGTACAACGGACAACACAGACAGGAAGCTGATCAATATACCATCTATATATAGATTTTTAGTTGTGTTTCTGCTTTATAATATTCATTTTATTAACTGAATATCTTTGGTATTTTGACTGCCCGGTCAGGCAAAACAAGACATTTAAAGACGTCACCTTGTGCTGTGGGACATTGATGAGCATTTTACACTATCGTGTCACCTTTCATAGGTTAACCTTTCAATTAATTTCTTGGTTTTTTTCCAAATCAATGTGTCCCTATTATTTGTGCATTGTATTGATTCATGTATCCATTAGGTTGTATTTTCTCCACCATTTAGAAATAAAGAAGCAGAAATCAATGTCTCCGTCTTTCTCTCAAAACCTCTTATGGAGGTGTAGGAATGTGTTATCCGTAAGCAAGAGAGTGAATTCATTTTTAACATACTGTACACAAGCAAGTGCACCTCACAGCAGTTCAGGTAAAAATGAACCACTGACATAATCATTTGTAAGTAAGTGGTGGTTGCTGCTGAAACAGATGGCCATTTCATGCCCCGCAAAAAATGCAAACTACTGCAGAAACATTACCTGGATCTGGTAAAAATATGAGATGCGGAGCTATTGTTGTTTGGGAAGTGATCTCAGCGCGTATCGACCCGTGGCTCTTTGCCGGTCTTAATTTTCCAGGAAAGGGAAACCAGAGATACCGTCACAAACAATAAAACGCAGAGTAAACACAAACGGGAGTTCCCATAAAATGATTTCATTAGAGTCCAGATTCTGGCCTTCAGAACATGATGTACCACGTCAAAGTCTGCAGCTCGTCCAATCAAAACACAGCCAGATGTTCCAGAGATCTGACCCAACTTGAGGAGACTAAAAGAGCCTTATACTGGTGTTTGAATTTACATCTACTGAAACAAATCTAGACTACAACTGTAGCTTTTGGTCCTCATGTGTAAAACTCGACAGATGCTAAGACTGTGTAGCTTCATATAACACAACCAGACATCCTGGATTCTCCCTGAAGGCCAGAGGCCAGAGGTTAAAGGTTAAAGCAGTTTCACAGTTGCGATACTGAGGCATTTAAAACCTGAGCCTAAAACTGACCAGAAAAACTAGGAGACAGATGAACACAGCGGCCTGTTTCTTTTCCACAACCTCGCTGCAATGTCAACATGAGCAATGTCACCCGTGATGTCATGATGCAGCAGTTGTGAAACAAGATGTTGGCAGCGATACGAGACTGCACTAACTAAACTGTAAAGACTAGACTGGATAGATTAAACATAGCACAAACAGACGTAGAAACACTTTTAGGACGTGGCGCACGGTTTGTCCGGGACACTCAGTTTTGGGTCCGGCCTCTGGTTAAGTTGTTTTCCTGGAAGAGTTGGGGATGACATGGAGCTTTGAGGAATGTACCGAGCAGCGAGGCAGCAAACGGGACATTCTCAAGGGGAACTATGTCTGTGTGTGTGCATGCGTCTGAGTGTTTAGGATGAACTTACTTCAAGACCAGACGCTCGCTGAGGATTACTCCAAAAAGTAGTGACAAATTTGAAACTACAACTCAAACATTACAGACAAACAGCTTCCACCAAGTTACAGTGAACCAAAAGCTTTACTCATCCGAACGCTAAATCATGCTCGTTTTAATTACAGTACAATTATGACTGATGTTCCTCTTAAGTTCTTGTTTGGCTGTGTCTCTGCCTTCTTGGAAATCACAAAGAATCCTAATATTCTACACTCTTGTGTTTTGAAATGTGTGATAAAGAGTCTCCAGGGACGTTCCAACAGAGACTGTCCTGTCCTGATAAGTCCGTCATCGCTCGTTTAATGTTCACCATCACTTGCATGTGATTAGAAGAGAGATCACACAGCGAGTAAAATATATCACCAAAACGAATAGCAACACCACACACGCAGTAAAAGTCAACATGATAGTGTAGAACAAATAAGATTACTTTTTTTTTTCTAAAGGAATCTTGCATTAAGTTTTGAGGCAGAAGTCATGAAAATGTAATTTTCTAATGAAAACTGTTGCTACTGTACGTGTATATAGCCTTTTTTATTTTTATTTTTTACAGAAAAGTAAGCAAACTCCATGTTCAGGTCAATATCGGTTTAGTCTACAAACAAATAAATGCAAGCTATGGGAGTTTGTGCAGCGACAGCATGTGGTCGGGGCATGTTACTACCTCCATAAGCACAGCATTGATCCTTTTTTTTTTGTCTTTTGTCTTTGACCTTTTCCAACTTTTTGTTCAAACTTAAGTTTTGGACAACTTGTACTCTCAAATCAGCGTAAAACTACCAACTTCCTTCCACGGTCAACATGTAATCTACTTTTATAACGCTAATTGAAAACCGAAAGCTAATTGGCCCCTAATTGTCTTAATTGATTCGTTTCAGATCACGCACACGACACGCTCCATTTTCCTGACCACGCAAAGGAGTGCCAATATTTTACGTTACCAAAAGTAGGCTGGTAGTTGTGTAGAGAAAGGGTAATTGCATGAGTCTAACATAAACAAAGGGGGCCGTAAGAAGGCGGCTGAAGTGTGCAGCTTCTCGGAAACAACGGGACAGGAGATGAAACGTAGACAGGATATAAGCTAAAACCGCATTATCCAGTGAAAACACTTACATTTACCAGTAACTTTGTAGTTAGTTCATTTAATTTATTTTACCTAATAACATGACTTCCAACTTCTTACGGTCCACCCGAAACCTCTCCTCGGTCCACTCCGGGTCTGGCAGCGGATGGAGTCCGCTCAGGTCCTCCTCTGATCCCGGGAGAGGAGAGTCGGTGCTGCGCTCGCTGTTGGAGCCCTGGTCCGACTGCTGCAAGTATCCGCTCAGAACGTCGCACTGGGCAGCCATGGCGCTGCTCAGCAACTTCTCCAGTGGCCACTGCGTTTTGTATTCAACGTGAAGTCGAGCTGAAGCGAAGCAGTTGAACTTCTGTTAACTTTTTTTTTTTTTTTTTTAATTCCGTCACTTCGTGGTGCTGTGCGGGCTCATTGCAGCGCAGTTGAGACCTTCCTCTGCAGTTTCTTCAGGCTCCGTCGTTTTACCCCCATTTACAGGCGGACTTCTAAAAATAGTCAGGAGCACACTGGTCCACTGAGCTATAGGTTGTCCGCCGACTTAACGGAGCGCGTTCAGGACACAGCAAACATACCAACCAACTCCTCGAGAAAGTTTCACGTGTCACCCTGCAAAAAAAAAAAAAAAAAAGAAGCCGGGCTCCTCCCAGAAACACTTAAAAAAACCATCTTCCTCCTCTAGGCTTCAAGTGAAGTCTCAAAACTTTAGCATTTGTGAGAAATTCACTCGATTTAATTTGTTTTACCTACTGTGGGACACAACTTTTAAGTCTCATTTAAGTGAAACCTCTAAGAGATTATAGGAAATTATAGCAAACTAAATCATAGTTATTATGAGCTAAATATTGTAACAAGTCCATTCTATACCATATGAAAATAAACCAAGGCAGGCTTGACTTACACAGAAATGATCATTTTCCACTCAGGCTGGCAGTTTATAATAAGACCCCATGCACGCAATGTATTGGTTAATAGAGGAAACACTACACATCCTGAGATTGGGTAAATTGAAGCAATACAGGAAAGAGAAACGAAAACAAATGGGGAGCAAGCCAACACACAAAAAGTGCCGTTTATGTGCTGATTTTGATGAAGTAATACAAAACCAGGTCAGTCATGTAGACAATAAAAGGTTTTCACGTCTCATATAATTCCAGGCATATTCTCATGCTGTGGTGTGGAAATGATTGACAGTTTCCAGTGACCTTGATAAATGCAATTTTCCATGTTAAATTTGACATTTTTATGGTGTTAGCTTAACTCGTTTTTATTGGTAATTCCCTACACAACGCATTATGTCATTGTCTAATATTTTGGTCTGCTGTTTTTGTGACTTGACCTCCACAACAGGAACATGTCAGGCCAGGGGCTCGTGATGTTCTACCATCATCGTTATTCTTCATATGTAAATAAAACTCATGTGAGTCGCACTTCCTATTCATGTCGGCCTCCAGACTATCTGGACAGCTGGAGCTTTCATTAGAAAGCAAAGTAACCACAGTGCTGCGCTACCAAGGCTCTCTCAGTCCACTTCTAGCACATTTGGACGTGCAAATAAATCCATCAATGATAATGCAGTCACCTAAATGTTTTATTAACATTATCAGGAATCTCCGAAAAGGTGAGGACCACATTTGTGTTCTACTAGGACAAGTCCCCACAAAACCTAGTAGTCTGATTAAGTCACATCAACAAAAGCACTGCAGAAATGAAATGTGTATGCCCGTATTTACATTAATATCAGCATGTTTGCACTGTATTGTAGACACATCAATAGGATCATAAGCTGCTCAATTACTGTGTGTACACCAGCCTCACCAGTGGAAACCAGATGATAATGGATGGTCTAATTTGAATTGCTAAAGTGAGGTACTATAATAGCCACTATCCACATGAATAACCCTTAGCAAATGGGCCTGAATTAAATGAAAGACAAATATGAATATTAAGTTGTCCAGGAGAGAAACTTCCTGATGTAAAAGGCAGTAAACAGTAAAGGCTACCACCTAGTGGCCATGTGAATAGTAGAACAAGGGGCAGACTGATTTGTGGATGATAGAAATATACTGTACACTGAATCAAACACTTTATGCCACAACAAGAAGGGCCACAGTTTCAGTTTACTCATGTGTATTGACAAGAAACAAGTTGCAACTCACTGATCGATTAATGTCTTTAATGCAAAATAATGAAAAATAAATCCAGTAAGGTCTGGTACAATATAAATCTCTTAAAAGAAAAGTATAATCAGGCCATCTCACCACCGCAACAACAACTTATAATAATGATGCAAATTTAAAGGGGCAAAAAAAGAGAAACAGTAAAAACAGTTAAGTCAAGTAAAGTCCAAGTAGAGAAAGTGCTTCAAGCGAATAAAACACCACAACTAGAACCAGTGTGGATGAGCAGTTGAAACAGTACTGTCATATTTTGAGGTGTTCAGGGATGCGTCATTGTTGCTGAAATTCCAGTTCCTCACATCGCATACCTCTCAGTCCATTCTTTGGCTACTTGGTTGTACCTAAAAGAGAAAAAAGAAGTAGATTGAGTTTCTCAAGATTAGTTGACTGATGAAAGTATTTCCAAATTACAAACGCGTTGGCTTTTGTACTCACCTCGGTCGGTCTGATTTGTAGATGTGCGCAATGTCTGGGACTAGTGGATCATCTGGATTTGGGTCACATAGCAAGGAGCATATGGATAATAAAACTGGAAGAAAAAGACCAAAAATTAGTATGCACACATGTTTCAATTAGATTAAAAAGGACTTCCAACTTCTTAATTAATTCTCCATAAACCAATTTAAATACAAATGGTGAAGCTTTGATTTCATGCACCTTTATATCAAAATTCTGTTAGTTTAGTTTCTTGAAAAAAAGTGTATTTTTAGTCATTATTTTCATCACATATCTACAAAACACGCAATCACACTATTCTCAAAGCGTCAAATCGGTTATAGATCCAAAATCTAGGAGCCCAATATGATCGATCCATCAGATCACTAACACCTTCATTCACTTCCCAACACTGATGGGGAAGAGGAATAGAGCTGAAACAAGTGGTTTCAATAACCACAGATAAAGTCCCTGCAAACAATTATTTCTCTTTATAGAAGAGGAGCAGAATATGAATATCATGGCTGTTTTGGTTGACATCACGTCACACCTGAATTAACTGAATTTAAAGCTGCAGGGTGAAGACAATTCAGTTAAATTGTTTTTTCTAAATTGAAGTACTTTATTTACCCATATTGTACTTTAAATGAGATGAACATTGATATTATTAGAGTATTATTTATAATTAATCCAGTTCAATTTGAAAACTGACTATTTATATAGTTGAGATATTATTTAATTGAACTTTCTTTATGTTATTTTACATTCAATTGCTGACTTCATAGAGATGTTGATACAACTACTAGGCTTCAACATATATGGCACTAAATCACAGCGCAACTTTGACATTATTGTGATATTCCTGACCTTTACATGAGGAAAGGAAGATATTAGTTACCTTTTGATACTGTAAGAGCAGGTGACCACTGCGACCTCAAGATGTCAAGGCAGATGCTACCATTGCTGTTGATGTTTGGGTGGTAAATTTTCGTTGTAAAGGAAAGCTATGAAAACAACAAACAAAGCATTAATAGATCAAATTCCCTTCTGAGGTGATGTAGTTTTGAGCTACTAAATCTCTAAATTTAACAATCTTACCTTTGGTGGTTTAAAGGGATAGTCGGTGGGGAAATGGACAGAAAGGAAGAACACTCCTCCATGATACGGGCTGTCATTCTAAAAAGAAGAGGAAAATATATGTTAAATTATGCCTAGTACTGTGTGGGAAAAAAAATACTATTTTCCCATGTTTAAAGTATGGCATTATGGTATTTCCCCTTTTTCCTATTGTCTAAGAAACGCCACGAGCGTTAGAGACTAACACTGGGATAGAGTGTGCCAGTCTGTGCTTTCAATACAGAACAGAAAGGGTTGTAAAGTCAACATAAAACACTATTGTCTAAAGATCCAGAAGAAGCTTGGTTTTTAAATAAAATTTAGGAAACTAATCCAGAAACAGCTCACCGGTCCCGTGATGGTAGCTTGCCAGTGAAACACTAAAAGAAAACAAAGATGACAACACAATCTGTGTGAATATTTTTTAGTACCAAGGCTTTATACCCACAAATCAGTAATACTGCAACACAGTCCCCACAGTACAAACAAGAATGACAGTGGCAGATTACAGCATTACACTTGAGAAAATGGCAGGTTAATATATTCTTATACTTACAGTCATCCCCTACGGGTCCAGCTGAACATGAAGCTGGAGGGTCCTTCCCCAAGTCTTGTAACTCCTGTACAAATGAACAAAACAACAATTAAAGAGTTTGACAGCTTCCGTAGCACTGTAACGACCGTGCATTGCTTTAAAGAACAAAAAAGCTCACAGTCTGTGACTAACGAACGTTAGCGAACAGCTAGCTAACTAAAATGTCGGGTAATTAAATCATATTGAAAAGTAGCCAACAACACAAACGTACAGGGCGTTGACACTGCTAGTTTGCTAGGCCAAATTTAGCTCGTAGTTAGCTGGAAGTTAGCTCGTTTAAGTTATACTGCTTAACTTAATGTTAGCTAACTGGCTTCTGGGTAGTGTCTTCGGCAGTGACATAGATATCGGACTTGCTGGTAGTGAAACCCGTAACGCTACCTCTCGTTAAAGCTTTCACGACTGTTGGTACGTTAGGTTAGCATACAGATGCTATTAAGCTAACGTTAGCTGGTTGACTGGCTAACGCTATAGCGTCGTTTCCCCGCATCGCCCCAACATTTTCTGTACATTAAGGAAAATCAGACGGATACTTACTTTCTTTATTCTTTTTAGAGCCATGGCAAGTCCTTCAGATAGATTAAGCGAAGCTACAGTGTTAACTTTGACAGCTGTCAGCTACAGCTACGCTCACTTTATGCCTAACCGGTCTTATTTGTTGTGACAAACTGGTTATTTCTTTTGTTTCCGCGTTTTTGTTCGACAATGAAGTATGGAGCGGTGCATTGTGGGGATTTGAGTTTTTTTAGCCAAGTTTGCCAAAACACATGGACCCAGTTCGTCCAATGGAAACCACTCTGTTAAGAATTTAGCAACAGTAAACTTATTAAAATGAATACCGTTTAGAACAAAACTTTAATACAAAAACTAGGCCATTACATCCAAACAGTTATTATAATCTGACAGTGCACCTTTAGGACTACTAACTACTGGAGAATAGTCTTTATTTCCCAGATATGTTAAATTTAAGAATATGTACAAAAATATTATAGATGCAAGATATAGTACTAGTATGTGACCAGCACTGAGGACATTCTTATTTGTGTTTCTTTATTATACTTTATTTTGACCAACATAGAGAAAGGACTGACAACAACACAGATGCTAAAACAACAGTGTTAAAATATAATGAAATGGATGCTAAAATATATTGTAATAGAATGACAACAAATAACACACAAAATATTGGTAAAAGAAGAAATAAAAGTGACTGTACACTGTGCAGTAATAATACAGAGCGGTCATAAATGTGCCCAT